TGAGGCAGGGGCCTCCTGTGCATGAGAAGCAAGGCCTTCCCTTAGAGATAAAATAGTTTCTGATCGAGGGAAATTTTGCAATGATGTGTCCTATTGATTAAGAGACTGGCTTTTCTAGAAAATCAGTTCTCATGGAGATTTTGGACCGTTTTCCCTTTTAGTTAGAAAAAATTTAGTTGTTCTCAAGGTTCTCCTCTTGGAGAGTGGTTTAGTTATGGAATAGAGATGAGAGATTGGCAGTAGTGCCTGACGAGAGAGCATGTCTAACTAAGTATTGTTGAGGGTTAGAAAGAAAACTCTATGTCCCAAATCTATGATGTAACATTCATAGGTATAGTGGATTTCAATTTTCTGCGCCCTTAGATGTAGTTACATCTGTGAAAAATCTTGTAAATTCAAGAGTTCTCTTTTTCGATTATTTCTTTCCTGCTTTATTTTTCTTGCTTCTTGCTGGTTCTATTTTTTTCGTACTTTATTTGTCAAAGATAACTCATTGGGCTTAGAGCTTCCGCGCACATCAGAATCATCCCTTAGAAATAAAACTAATTATCATTGATTTTCTTCTCATGAGATTTCATATCAATTGTGCATGAGATAGATTTTTTTTTAATCCACTATACCATTTAAGTTCGAATATTTTGAGAATAATTTTCGGATAGGTTTTCTATGAGTAAGATGACTCATATGTACACATACGTCTCCTGTCTAAAATACATCTTTTTTGGTGGTATTAGACCAGTGGGCTAGAAATGCATCCTTGTAAAAAATTTCCATTGTATAAAAACTCATGGGTTTAAATGCATGAATAACAATTCAAAACCATTATACATATATTCCAACCTATAAACATGGTTTATACACATTTAAATAATGAAATTCAACCCTAATAGGTCCCTTACAAATCCTTTACTCAAAAATTTAATTAAACTAAATACAATATTCAAATATCCACATTATACATCTCTACAACATATTGCATAACTTGCACTAGCAATTCCCCTTTATATCAAAATTATATGATAATTTCATCTTCATTCTTCATCCTTATCATATATCATAATATCTCATATACATAATACACTTGATCATAATAATTCAATAAGATTTCAATTCGCATAAACAATAAGGCATAGCATTAAAGCTCATACCGCAAGAGTAAAAAATAACCTCAATATTCACATAACATACTCAATTTAAACAATCGTGAATACATTTAATAACTGTAAATACATCAAATTAACATGCAAACATACATGGGAAAACTATGGTTCGAACCCCTTGTACCCAGGCCACGAAAGGGCCTTTTGAAGACTTAATTTTGTCCTATTGTCTAAAGCACAAGTGATAATAATAACTCAAGAAGATCAATCCAATGGGAGAAAAATGATCACATTTGTTTCACTTAATGGGGATCAAATCATACGAGAGACATGTATCAAAATAGCCCTTCCAAGTATGAGAGAGATACTACACAAAATAATGAAGTTGTTGTGAAACTACACTATGTGGTCTGTAAGGGACCACACGAACTTTTCAACGTTAAAAAGGGAACTCATTGGACTATTTCTTATGCTCAAATATGATGAAATAAACCTCTCATCAGTTATATATTCTCAGTAAAAATTTCAAAAAAATAAGATCAAGAAATCAAGTTGAAACTATTCATGATCATGGAGTAAGCAAGCTAGTCTGCTCATACGATGAGTATGGACTACACTATTACTTTGGGACTCTTCAAATATCAAGTTTTCATTACCAAAAATTAAGAAAGCTACTATAAATTAAGAATTACAACAAGTTTTGATAATGGAAATAAGGTAGGAAATAAAAATATGAGAAGAAAAATCAATACCTTAATGAAGCAATAATATGGGCTTGATCACATAAATGATGGACTACTCCATGGAAAGGTTTTAAATGAAAGCTCAGGGAAGAAGATAGTCCCATGGGTGACCACATTTTTTTCTAGGGCCCTCTCTCTCTCTCTCTCTCTTTGAAGTGAATACTCAAGTTAGGGTTATAATTGATCTCAAAATGTACTTTTATACTTAGATCATAAAGATGAATCTGATCTTAATCCTTGATACCTTATATCAATGGCACATGCGAGGCTTTTATCCAGGCCACTCATCCATATCTTATTCCCAAGATCAATAGATGAGCTTTTGACACATTTCACTCCTTAAAACCTAGGTTTATAGTCATTGTACCTTGAAGCCCTTAGCTCCATGTTTTATTCTCATTAAGTCCAAATTCAGGTTTACACTTATGCCTATAGTTTTTGAATAATTTATGAGAGTCAATAAAATACAAGGACATGGACATAAAGGTAATATGAGACATCTACACATATGAATAAAATATCTTATGACACCAGCAATAGATAAACTCACATGCTACAAAATCATATGTGGATATACTCACGTGCTACAAAATCTTATGTAGATATACTCACACATAAGATATACTCACATGCTACAAAATCATATGTTGATAATAATATGAATTAAATTAATTCCCAAAATTTCATGACTTCACACATGTCAAAAATGGCACATATTTGTAAAAAAAACATGTGACTTAAATCAAACTTAAGTCATAGCAATATATAACACTTTAAATAACAAGATAACATCTTATAACATAATACCAACAAAAGAATTAATGACAAATAGGTCCCCACATAGATATGACATCAGCATGATGTCATCCACGAGTGGAGAGGTAGGGGGTGCCACGTGGCATCGCTATGGCCACTTGGGATCCATGTGGCATTCCGATAGAATATCCTTGTTTGGTATTTATGTCAAACAAATTTGAAAACCATATTTTATTGTTTAAAAAAGAACTGAAAAAATATCCAAAAATCCAAAAAATTCTCGAAATAATTTCTCAATATTAATACACAATTTTCAATCAATATAAAATATTTTCTCATCAATTTTAGATTAATATGGGGCCAAAGATAAATTAGATCTGTAGACTTATAATACTACTCGGAGTCTTCCATTGGGCTAGCCTGAATAACGTTCTACCGGTATCTCAAGCCGACCCAATGGACCTATGCTCCATAATCTATGGCCGGGATACATAATTGGTCACATCAAAATCACTGAGCCAGAGCTTCCCGTCGCCAGGATTTCAATGGATTACTGGTGCACTCCTGTGGGACATGTTCCTACTCAAATACAGGGGTCCTCTCAAAGCACATGCGCACTAGCTCTTCTAAGTCGGAGAATACTATAGAAGACTGGCTTCTTCATAGAACTGTAGGTGCACATGCCATGGAACGGTCTCATGTCAGGATACGAGCTCATGTCACATAAGCTGACCATTCCATTTAGGGCAAATACTCTTCTAAATGCTCGGTTCCTATTATTCTCGATTGGATTCTCGAAGCCCTGGCTTATCACATCAACTATGAGGCATTCCAATCAATATAGTCCTAACTGGGACGTGACCCTCACACCTCCCTGAGAGTTCACACTCTCAAAACGTATACTCTCAATGCCTTAAATACTCGGGATATATGAATCTGGGCCCCAGTGCGCCAAGCACCCAGATTCAGGGATTAAAGATAAATGTTTTTTATTTGATTTTTTAGGGATTCCTGATCTAGGCCAAGATGGTGATGAATATTAAAACATAAAAAATAAAATAAAATTTGAAATGTTTTTTTTGGGTTTTTTTTTTTTAAAACATATGCTATTTATGGCAAGTGCACTTCACACGATGTCCATCTTAAAGGTGGTTTGTGGGTCAGTGGGCTCGTTTGTCTGTTGACACACATAAAACATTTCCATATGTTTTTTCATAAGAAAGTGTATACTATGATTACTTATTTTTGGTATAAGGATGCCTGATTCACTATTAACTGTTCCATGTAAAATTCAATAGTGGGGGTGTGTCTTTGACTAAACTAAAAAGTCTCGATTATTTTTTAGCTTTGTAATGCATGTCAAGTTGTTGGATTTCACATCAAATGGCTAGAAAAGCTGGCAACCTTCATGTGGAAATAGTAAATGGCCTCACATCACACATTCCCATAAAATATGTACAAGATGTTTGGTGGGTTAACATAACATCTTTGCATGGTGTTGACAGTTAGAAGTAGCTGGAAGGTGGAAAAGGTGTTCCGATAGGCTCAATTATCAACAAGAAAAGATAGGCTTGATCCAACATCACTTAAATCCCACTTTGAAAGGTTACCGGGCCTTTATTTACAGGTTATTCATTTGTCATCCTATTGTTTCTCACTCAATTTTACATATATCCCTTGGGCTCTTATAGCGAATGATCTATTAGAGATGTACTAGGAAGTGTTTGCCTATATGATTGATGGGAGGGGTTCGAAAACAAAAGGTGATAAGTGGGTACTCTTCAACGATTTGTGTATTCTAATGCATTGAAATTTAACCATTGTTTAAATTTTGGAGGCCCACCTTAATTTTCTTTAGACAAGTCCTCCTCCCCCTTATTGTCATTGAAAAGTGATATTTAATCTTATTAACATGCAGCTAGTTACATCAAACAAAATATGAAAGTATAAAGCAATCCTACACAAACCCCTTGACTACTAATCTAGATCTGTACACTGCTTAGGAAGATCATCTGCCTCCCCATTTAACTCTTGGTAAACATGTGTAAAGGAGGCTTTCAACTTTTCACGATAGTCTAAAACACTGAACCACGAAGATTTCAGATTCTAGGGTACTTGCACGAAGAATCTCCTTTCACCTCTATAACATTACCCAACTAGTTTTTTTCAATGATTTTCAAACGCATGAGCGAAGCTAGCATTTTCCCTATTTTGCAAGTGCCACTCTACACGGTCTATAGAAAGTCATCAAAATATTTTCCATATGATTCCTCAACAATCTTTCCACTCTAGTTGGACCAAGATTTCCTAAAGAACTATCATCAAAATTGAGTTTAGTTGATCATTGAGCAGGAGGTCTTCACACCTCATAACTTCTCCGCCTGCTGCATTTATGCAACACAACCTCCTTCATATTGTAGAACATGTGTTGTTAAGAAACTCCCCGACATTCCTTCCTAATCAACGACCAACTAATCATTGTCTCCAATACCTTCCATCTTGAATTATCAATAATCAAGCTCAACCCATCAAAAAGTTTTATATTCTTCTCCTTCCATATTACGGTGTTGCTCAAAAAGAACCATTTGATTTTACCAAGTTCAATGTGAGCCAAATTAGTCAATATTTATATGTTTCGATGCAATAGCAAGATGTTGACACATATATTTATAATTACGTTTGTAGTAAGGGTGTAAGTGATAGTTACCAGATAGTGTTTCCTAGTTTAGGAATATTTGGGAGATTTAGATGATCCACAATATCACCATCTTGTTTAGGAATAAGTTGTAAACCCACATCCACATTGAATATTGACAATTTAAGAACAGATATTTACATGTTTCTTCATCATTACGTATTACATAACATACAAATACTGACAATAGCCTTACTCCTTTTCCTTAAATTGTCCATTGTTAACAGCTTACCAAGAAACAATAACCATAGGAAAGCATGTACTTTTTGTGAATTTGCAACTTCCAAATATTTGCAACTCCTGGTTTTCTCCACCTATAACTATCATTGAACAACAAAAAACAAAGAGATTTGATATCAAACTCACCCCTAGTGTTCATGTCCCATGGCAATTCATCTACTCTTTCAGGAAATAAATACACCATCTTCAAATCTTGTAGCAAATGAATTAGTTTGTTAATAACAAAATCAGAGACATATTACACCTGCAACTAATCTTCCATTTACTTTGAGACCCTTACCTGAAGCAATATCTCTAACTTTTACATACTAATTTACTCCCATTTGGAAAAACATCCAAATACTAATACTTCGATGCACTTGTACTCGGCCGCCAATGATGCCAAAACAATTTTTTTTTCCCCATTTCCAATAGAAAACCTCACATTCTGCTCTAACAATGGCTCAAAATGAAGTATAGATGAATTTGCCCTACCACTTGTCAATAGAGCTTTAGTCATAACTTCTAATTTCCCAATTCTCAGCCACCATCATTCTTAGGAGTATAAATTATCCTCCAACCAACTAAATGATGTCTCCACTTATTTTGGCTACTTCCCTAAAGAATACTTTCATTCGCCTCTCCAACTGGTGGACCACTCCATTAGGCATGCACATAAGTGACATATAATAGGTTGGCATATTAGACAAGGTAGACTTCAACAATGTAATCCTCCCTACTAACAACAAATATTTAGCCTTCCACAAATTCAATTTTTCATGAAACGCAAAGATAACTGGATCCCACACCAATCTAAGAGTCCTACAATTCAAAATACGCAAACCGAAGTACTTTATGGGAAATTAATCCACTTTACACCCAAAATGAGTAGCTAAGCTACTAACCATTTTCCCATTCAAATCAATTCCAACCATGTTAGTCTTATCAAACTTTTCTTTAAGTTCGAAAACAACTTCAAAATATCTAAAGAAACTTCTTAAAAACAAAATCAAATTAACATCTACACCACAAAACTCAACAGTATCATTGGTATATTGAAGGTGAGAAATGCTTGGAGTAGTACTTGAAACCTTCGTCTTCTACCTTCCTTAACATAACACTCATAGCTCCTATTAACATGAACAAAAAAGAGGCACATAAGATCTCCGTGTAGCTCTAAAAAAACCTAAGGACTCCCATTGATGACCACTGAAAAATAACTACTCATAAGACAACCTCTAATCCAGCTCCTTCATTTTTTCTCTAGACCCCATATGCCACATAATTTCTTGTAAAACGTCCCAATCTACTCTACCATAAGCTTTTTTAATATCTAATTTAGGCTAAGGCTATGGGGAGTGTTTTGGTTTGAGTCAATAGAGGTTGAAGATGCTAAATTTTAGCTAGTCCACAAAAATAGGAGGATGGTGGAATAGGTTCTATGATTTGATTAGGACAAATCTAGAGTTTAATCTTATGCTTAAGGGCTATAGAGGTTGGGTGTATAGAAAGGGGTTGGAATGAGGTAAAGTAGATGTTTGGATGGATTAAACCAAAATTTGGCTGGATTAAACCAAAATTTATGTTATGGTTTGAATTGAGGACAAACTTGGTCATGGGAAATCATATATCGGAATGTGCATCGCAAGAGGGGAGAGAAAAGGGAACTCAAGATTAAATCTGCAGGGAGAACCTCCAATGTACATGGTATGGCTTTGGGAAACCTCCCATGAAAAGATGAAGAGGGGCTCTAATTATTGGAGGACATTCACTTATATGAGGCTAGAGTTGTATATTCACTATTTTTGCAAAAACAAATGAGAAATTTCATATTCCCATCACAATTGGAAAGCTAAATTTTATTACTCAAATTATTTGAATTTATATGCCTACATATCTCTACTTTCCAAAACTTCCTAATATTCTAGATTCATCAAAATTAAATAACCAATTACTTCATAGGTTTAGGAAATGGACTATGGCAAAACACGGAAAAACTTTTTCTTAACTCTTTACACAAACACTGGAAACTGGGTTTTACTAGTGAAACAAGGAAAGAATCAACTTTCGAAAATTTTAATTTCCCTAACATGAGGTTTCTTCCACTCACTAATGGAAATAAAGAACCTAACACACTCAAAAATAAAATTTGTCAATAATTTTTCTTGAAGTTTTTCAACATAAATACATGAAAGTGAAGCTTAAAACATATGAATTACAAAGGATGTAACATATAAGGCTTATAGTCTTAAAGGGATCGTTGATTTAAGCTTTGTATCAATTGACTTTCTTTCTTATGAAAACTTATACTTCCAATAGTGATTTACGTCACTTTTTACTTATTAAAGAAATTTTGTTTTTGAGTTTTAAAATGATCTTAAATGGCACGTAGCATAAAGCAATTTTCCTTCAGTGATATTCTTTGTTGCACATGCCACTTTAAAGTGTGACTCCTTTATAAATATTACCACTTTTGAAAATATCAGGAGAAATGATCTACTTATGTTGACAAAAGAGTTGAAGAAAATAAGAACTAATTCACTTAATTTTTCTACCACGTTATCTTCATCTTGTGATTCAACATTTTCTTCACTAAGGAAATCACATCCTCAACTTCTTTGTGGGCCACAGGTTTACTTCTTTTCATGATCTTGGAAATTTCTTCCCCTACTAAATTGGCATCAAGTATGTCGTCAATAAATGGGATCACTTATTAAATTAATAATGGGAAATTCAAACTCCTACTCTAGAAAATATACCAATAAATTGATTTTGGACCACATATTCATGAGCATGACAAATGGATTATTAGAAGGTGCTATGAGGCTTTAGTCATCCTTTACTTTTGCCACCTTATGAAAGTCAGTAGTATTTGCCTTAAGAATGATATGAACTCTGGAAGTATGGATGATTGAAATATTACCTTCTATAAGAGGAGAATTATTGGAGTGCTCTCTATCTTCATGGTCGTTGCCCTCATCTGTTCCCATCGTTAGTTAGTCAATCTACGTGTATGAGCTCTTCTTCGACCAATACATTAAGAATTTCTCACATGGTATTCTTTCAATCCATTAGTTGCAATAAACACTCAACAATTTGGTTCTGGAAGAAGTGAGAGCCATATAGCCTATTTAGTTGACATGCATGAATTCAAGATAAGTTTCAACAGACAACTTACTATATGTTGCCAACACTACAGTACGACCAACAAGGTTTGGCTTTTACATGGGTGCAACATGTTTGGATGTCTAATAAGAAAAGGCTTGATGTAAGCTTTGAAGTTCTAATTAGGCTCTGATTTAGGAGTTAAAAAAGGTTTAGGTTCTTTATAAATTATAGGATACTAGGCTTTGGACCTATCAAGATCCTCTATAATAAGTAGAAGTGGATAATAAGAGGCATAAAGGGGTTGGATTAGACAAAATAGAAAGTTAAATTGTATTAGTAAAATTGATTGAATCAGCCATAGAATTATTATGATATTCAATGAGGTTTGATCCATTTTTCTTTCATACAGCATAAAACTCAAGTTATCATTAATTTTCTAAACTCCCAAATCTTGTTGCTACTTTAGAAATTGGTAAATAGATCTTTTATAATCTTAGAAAACTAGACTGCCACAAAATATGTAAAGCATATTTCTGAAATTTTAAACAAAGTGTGGAGACTAACTGGTAAAATAGGGAAAGAAACAACTTAATAAAACTATGATCACTCTCCACTTTCTAATCTTTGAACCACACATCCTTCTAAAAAGTCGATCTTCTTGTAAGATTGACAAGTTCACCACTCTAGGGTTTCTAGGACTCAAAATGGTTTAAGAGAAACTTAACAAACTTAGGGAATAAAATTCATCATTGACTTTTTAAAAAGGTTTTAACCATGAGTTGAAGTCCATATGTCTTAAGTTACAAAAAAACAGAAAGATAAGTGTCACAGATTTTTAAGAGCTCATCAATTTAGTCTTTAGAAGTCCCTAAATGGACATTTAAGCAAAAATTTATGCTTTCAAAAGGTTCTAGAATTCACTAATGTCATGTTATCTCCTTTTTATATGTTGTGGAATGACTAAATTGGAATTGTAACAAAAAACTATTTTACATATGTTGTTCTAGTGGGGACCATGACATGGCCGCACTATACATTGGAACCTTGGAATGGATAAGAAGGTTGAATTTTACAGAGTTGGAGATCTGGCAACCATGGTTTATAGGGCATAAGATAGCAGGGTATGTTCTTTTTATTTTCATTTTATTTTATTTCATTATCATTTTAACAGGCATAGTTATCCCCACATTGCACAAACTAAATACGTTTGAAAAATTTGATGAGCACCCTACTATCGTTTCTATTTTTACTTGTTTATCAGATATGAGCAATTTATCTCTTTCTCTTTCCATGTGGGGGGTGTGTGTATGTGTTATATATATATATATATATATATATATGAAAAAGTTTTAAAAACGCCTATAGGCGAAATGCCTAATGGTATTTGAATTTTAATTTGTTTTCTACGAATCCAAATCACTTGAAATTAGGTGTGTGTTCATAAAAATAGGTGAATCTTCAAAAAATATTAAAAAATATTTTACATGACAAACATTGACCAAAATACCCCCGAAAGTTTTTGAGAGTATTTTTGTCAATTTGTTTTTTTGTGGACTATTATTATTATTTTTTATTTGGTCTGGATTGATGAGAGTAAGGCACATCTAAAATTTAAGTGATTTGGATTTGTAGAAATAAAATAAAATTTGAACACTACCGGACATACGTGATCGTTAGATCGACACAGATTGAATCTGAGCCGTTGGGCTGATTTTTTCTTGTGAGCCCTCTGGCTCATTGAATAATTTTCCATATATATATATATGGAAAAGTTTATATAAGGCCAAGGCTCTAAACAATCAAATTTGAGCCTAACTCAAAATTTTCACTAGAAGAGGAGTATGGACATGAGAAAAAAATGGATTCAAATTTTTAAAATAGTGTACTTTGTAACACATTTTTGGACCGTCAATTTTCAAGATTTTCAAGTTTTTATAGATCGGCCAATCCACACTGTTTTTGAAGCATTAAACTGTATAAATAAATATATTTTAAGGTGGTCAAAAAGATTTCCAATATTGAAACCACATTTTTTTATACTATTTGAAGGTAGGCTCTAATTTGATTGTTTAGAGCCTAGGCTCTATACAAACTGCACCCATATATATATATATATATATCGGGAAAGGTTCATGTCAGCCCATGAGCTGATAGCTATAGTGTCAGCCAACTCATATATATAGGATGGAACTATTTGCATACACCCTTAAACTCATATCTATTATCTACTACATTAACTCCAGACAAAACTAATCTAGGGGAATTTCCTTGACCATAGATACTCTCGACCCTTGCGAAAAAATACCCAAACAATAAAAAAATAAATAAATTTCTTTAGGATTGGGTGAGTATTTGCTATCCATTTTAGATCTAAGCTTTCATGAACTCAACTTAAAACTCATTAATCATAAAATTGTTCATCTGGTGATTACAATAACATTTGCAAGATTGTTGTCAAATAAATTAAGGTCTAGATCTATTTGTATTTTTACCTTTCCTAAAATAGATGGCCCATATTTGCTGCATTTTCTCTTTCCTAAAAGAACCCATTTTATTTTTTCCTTCATTTTTGTAAGAGCTTGTTTATTGGGATGACTATGGAACTTTGACAAAATTTGTTCTCAAACAAATCTCCCTTTCGGATTGTGAGCTTATGATATAAGAAGTAGCTCAAGCCTGCATTTTAGTATATTTCCTTGAGATATTGATGGATAGTGTGCAAAACTAGAGCCAAAGGTGGTGATCAATGTTTTGAATTGCAGATACACAGTTCAATATGAACATAATCTACTATTTGCTACATTCAAGGTATGTGATCTGCATGCCATTGTTCTTTCTTCTATAAAAGTTTCAATAAATATTTTGCTAGTTATTGTACATGTTGAAGTAAATCATGGTGAGCCAATTCAACAGGGTGCTAGGCACACTGTTGCAGAATACACACCTCACCAATCACCGGTGGCCTTCCAACGATGGATTAGACTCCACCTTGGAAATGATAAATATGTAAATAGTTTAATCCATTTGGGTTAGTAATTCTTAAAGTGCATGTTATTGTTCTCTGCCCAGTTTATAATGGCATGCATTTCAAATTTTGATAAACATCTTAATAGTAAATATAAGCAAGCATTTTCTCAAAAAAATCTGTTAAAAATTTTATTTTATATGTGGGTTGTTATCTTGTAATGTGTCTCCCTTTCAATGCCATGCTCCTTCTAGTCAGTAGTGTGGAATATCTTTTCACCATGAACTTATGCATGCAATCATGGCTGTTTCAAACATTTGGTGGTACACGGCGACCCCGATTCTTGTCCAAAACAAACGTTCACCCCAACTTCCTTGACTTATTACAATGTTCTTGGCTTTTGTGTTTCATGTATAATAAGGAATAGAAAGTGACTCATATATTTATGTTAGAGAAAGGATTCATATGGACTTCAAAAAAATGCATTTCTGAATTGAAGGAAACCAGAAAAATCTCAAAAGAGGGAGAGGTGCAACAACAAATCTCTCATAAAAGGGAGATCTCAACAACCATTAATCCAATATCATAACTCTAGAACACAAAAGTTCAAATGGAATATTACTAAAATTTCACACCACCTCCTCACAATGGACATATAAGAGTCTATCTATAAGCATAACCAAAAAATTAACTTGAGATCTAACTAAATAATTTAAGACTCTAAAATACACCTAGATAATATTAAAAATTCTAGAAATATCGTTGTGAACATACTCATGAACAATAGCTTTTGAATTGTAAAATAAATAAATAAAATAGAAATTACATGTTGGAGATATCTTCAGTGAGACTACATCAGTCCCCCATGGCTAGAAGAAGAACTTGCCCTCTTGTTCTTTTTGAGATCCCTTTTTTTATTATTACTGTTCTATGTGCTTTGCAAACCCTTTATACTTTTGAATTTACCTTTGGTAGTTGGTGGTGTAGTCCTACCACATTGGCACTCTTTCATTGGATCTCAATGTAATAATATATTGCATATAAGGTTGAATAAAATCCTTGATGAATAATTGTTGAAATTCATTTGAAAATCCTTCGGGTTTTCATGTTCATTACTAAACATAAATTTTAAATATTTACAATTATTCTCACAATAAAGGAGCAAATTTTCAACAGATACCTCTTTGATCTTATGTTCTTCATTTGGATCCTTATAATATATAAGCTCACTAATTATGTTAATAAGTGGTGATTCAATCTTGCAATCTGAAATGATACCTGTAAAGGGATTCTCTTCAGAAGATTTTCGAAAATGTCCATGTAATGTCAGGTAGTTAGCGTGATTCTCATGCAACTCATACTCTCCCAACATGCCTTCAGAGTTTGCAGCTCAATGGATCATCAAATCCATCAGTTGATCCAACCTACGCACATCCAAGGTTTTGACGATCTCAGGTTCGGTGTGATCAAACCTACTCTGATACCACTTGGTGCAGCAATAATCAAAGAAAGTGAGGAAATCATAACAGCTGGCGACCGTAACATCTATTGATCCAGCATCACTACTCTAGAACTCAAAAGTTCAATTAGATTATCATTAAACTTTCACACCACCTCCTCACAATGGGCACATAATAATCCTCAATAATATTTTAAATTTGATAAATACTTTTGTGAACAAAACTCATGAATAGCAACTTGTGAATGGTAAATTCTATAAATAAAAAAATATCATGTGCTAGAGATGAACAAGATTTCATCAATTTCACAATCGTTTTTAAGGATCCTCTACCAAGAAAAAGAGAAGTAAGAGCAGCCTACCCTCCTGTATTTATCATTGAAAGGTCTTCCTATATAGTAATTTGTATTGCCATTCTTCCTTCGATTAATGCGATAGAATGAGTTACACACGTGCAATTTAGTGTAATGGAAATCAAAATACTACATAGGGTCTGACAAATAAACAACTAAGACAAATACCAAGGTTTTAGAAAATGGATTGGTGACCTAGATCGTCTATCTAAAAACTAGCTTCAGATTGGCATATCAGCAGTGTGGATTGGAGAACTCGCTGGATCCAGACTAAAAATATTTTAAAAAATCAATAAAAATACCTCAAAATATGGTTTTTCGAGTAGTGGTGGTGCATTATGTATTTTAATTATCTTGTAAAAATATGTGAAAATTGAGACGTGTTTCCTATCTGAGTGTCTATTGATATTAATTTTGATACTATTTTTTATACTAATTTTGATAAATTCCTTTTACAAAATATTTTTTACTTATTTTGTGATTTTTAGTGAAGACATGAGGGAGAAAATGATTTTTGTAATTTTTCATACGAATTTTGTGATACTAATTGTAATTTTTATGCATGATTTTTCTCTAACATATACATTGGATCTCTCTCTCACATACATACACAAAACGTATGGTTGACATCTCTCTCATATATACACACACAAATGTACACCCTCTCTCTCTATCTCACATACACATATAAAGACAATGGGCATCTCTCTTTCTCTTTCTCACTCACACAAATCCACATAAAAACACATTGGATATCTCTCTCTAGCACTCTCTCTCACAAACATATTGGAGAACTCTCTCTCTTTCATAGCTTCTATTTTGGTTGAGACTTCATTTATTTATTTATTTAAATTAAAAATATTAGAGTGTTAATCCATTCCTCTGCTTCTTCTAGTCTAATTTCTATAAAATCCTCTTATTTTCCAGTATTGCATATGTAGGACATATCTCCATATCCCATATTTTTAGGTTTCATTTCTTGATAAACCCAAAGTTTCAAAAAATATCTTCTAACCCCCTGGCCACTTTAAACTCATTTTTTAACCTAAACAAATATACCCCAAACTTCTTTTTCTCTCTCTTCCTATGTTTCTCTCACTCTCCCTCCTCTTGAGTTTCTCCAAACACCTCTCTCTCCTCCCGGTATTTTTCACCTCCATGAAGCCCTTCTCTCTCTCTCTCTCTCTCTCTCTCTCTCTAGAAGTTTGGGATGATGGCTTTAGAAAAGGCATATCTTTTTAGATTTGTTTAGCATAAAAAAATACGTTTAAATTAGCTCTAGGGGTTAGAAGAAATAAAATCTACAATTTTTATGCCCCAAGATATCTTTTAATTCTTAGGTCTGTTGTGAAATGAAACCTAAAGATGGGAGTATGAAGATATTTTCCCTTTATAAAATTAGAAGATTATTTCGTCTTATAAAATCTTCATATTATATTTTCCAAAGTTGCATAGGTAAAGAAGATTTTATGTGTGGTAAAATCTTCTTAGATTTTATATGTGATGTAAAATTTTCTTATTTTACTAAGTTGCATAAGTAACATCTTCTTAATAAGCCTCGTTTTTTCAAATATAAGTTTTTGAATACTAAGGAATTTGAAAGAGAGAAAGAGAGAGATATATGATGCCACATCATAAATGTGAGAACGAAAGGTGAGCCAAGCAAGTTTAAAAAGATTCTCATGCCTCAGAAAGCCATAAGCATGCCCATAGCCCTCTTATGCACGTGTGGCAGTTGGGCCCAATCAGTAAATCATCAACATCATCTAATTTTTATCCTAATTATTTGGTGTCGGCTACAAGAATCATGTTTTGTTATTCTATTCTATCAAGGGCCATGCCCTCAATAAGACTATAAATCACTATATTTTTTCAAACTATTTCTATCTATATCCGTTTGGGGCTTCCCCTTGCCCTAATTGTTGTTATATTAGGCCTACATTACACATGACTAACCCTTTAAAGTGTACTTTTCCTCATCTTATTTCCTATTGAAGCCATACTTAAATTCTCTTAATTGTATTTATTATGAATTCTATTTTTTTTTTAGGAAAAAAATTTATATAAGGTTGCATCCTTAAAATGTTGAAATACGGATGCACCTAAAAAATTCATTGGAAAAGAATGTTTTAACGTTGAAAAACCCTCTAGTTGATTATCTCGACATAGATATATATGAATAAGACCAAAAACAGATTTTGAGTACCGGAAATAGTGCATCTTACAACACATTATCTAGACCATCCATTTTCAAGATTTTCATATGTTTGTAGATCTACTTGATTTTAACTATTTTTGGAGCTTGTAATTTTATTATTAGATAAGAAAATAGCTTTTGAGATAATCCTAATAATTTCTTACACTAAAATTACATGTTATGATAGAATTTGGAGATGTACCTTAATTGGGTTGTTTAAGGTTGCAACCTTATAGAAACCACACCTTTTTTTTTATCTTTTCACATCCATCACAACATCCTCATCTATGTTGCATACACGTTATGGGTATATAATTTCTTGATTGCCTAACCTTCTATCCCACATAGTATGACTAGCCTTAGTTTCATTAGTATACGACGATCACATCAAACTCGGGATGCACATCTCCTCTTCACCTACACAGTTTTAATTCTATGCATGATATATTCTTTAATTTCTACATTCTCCTGGAGTATTGACCCAAGATATCAAAAATAATATCTTTTAGATAATTCTTGGTCATCAGTCTTAACTACTTCCTTGTTTCTATTCCTATTGTTACTAAATTGCACTGTATATGTTCTGTCTTAGACCGATTAATTTTAAAACCTCTTTATCATAGAACATCCTACTAAAGTTCTGAATTTGCATTGATGCCACTTCTAATCTCATCATTCAAAACTACATCATCCATGAACAACATACACTATGGTACCTCATGTTGTAAGTGCCTAATAACTCACCCATAACCAAAACAAAGAAATATGGTGTCAACGTTGACTCCTTATGTAAGCTTATTGTCATTTAAAACTAACTTGTCTCTTCACTAATTGTCCTTACACAAGTTAGTGCTCCCTTGTTCAAATCTCTCACGATATCAATATAGCCTCAAGATACTCTTTCTTTTCCAACTCTTTCTTTTCCAATACCCACCAAATTAAGTCTCTAGGTATCAGATCTATGCTTTCTCTAAATCAATAAAAACTATGTTGAGGTATTTTCTATAATTATTTTATTATTTTAACTTTGACCATGAACTTTCATTCAAAAAATAAAGAGTACATAAGGTAATATGAAAAATGTTGAGGTCTTTTCCATTCTCCTTAAACTTTTCAATTAGTTGCCAAAGTAGGAAAATGACCTCAGATGTTGACCTCTATGGTATAAAAACATACTGAATTTGATACACACGTTTCTTGCTTTAGTCGTAGCTCAATCACTTTCTCCCACACCTCCATAGTGTGGCTTAAACGTTTGATCCCTTGATAGTTCATACTATTTTATATGTCTTCTTTATTTTTGTAAATAGATACTATAATTCTTTTGAGGTCAAGCTTTCTATGCTTCCCCCACAGGATAAAACTTATATGCTTCCCCTTATCCAGCCGTCTATTCTAAATGGAGGGCTAAGATTGTCCCAATCACAATGTAATGTCCCTATACTATTTTTCTTTTTTTTTTATGAACTATTTTGACAAAAAAATTTGTACATCCAATTCTCTATTAAACTCACACCATCGAAGAAAATAAAAAACATATTTCTAATAAAATAAAATGACAAAAATACCCTTGAAATCTTCAAAGGGTATTTTGACTATTATATTTTACCAAAAATTTATTTTTAAATTTTTTTTATAGGTGCGCCCCAATGAGAAGATGGCATGTACCAAATTTCACATTCATACCATTTGTATAAAAGAAACCAAAAATAAAATACTTTGGGGCATCGGATCTAAGATCAAAAGGTGAATGGCTCTCTTGATCAAAATTGGATGACTGGATTGTAGGGGAAGCATATAACTTCTATGTTGTAGGGTAAATATCAAAACATTCCCCTTCTTTTAAATGGGTAAATAAAAGTAAAAAAAAATTGATTTCAAACGAATATAGTTGGCCACCCATGTGACCGAGATAGGTTGGCCCTATATGCTTAGTAAAAAAGTAAAATATTAAATAACACATATTACCCACTGGGTTCTTTTTGGGAAATGCCGATTGCACTATAATGTGATTTGCTATAGAAAGTCACGGATTTCCTAGGGCAAATGGTCAACTCCCGATATATTATGAGAACTGGTTCAGGTGCAATAATGCTCGATCCGAATTGACCGATTCCGATTAAGATTGACATTTTAAAACATTGCTAAATGCATAATTTTTTAGATACGGGAACATGGACATGTGGTCCATGAGGGTTACTGAGACCCAACGGTCCATCCAACTGCAAAGAATGATAATGACATTATTGTCCCAAAAACGCTGATCGGTGCTAGGAACGTTGCGGTCCCGTTGGCGAACCAGTACAGTCTTGCGCATGGCTAGCTTGGTGTTCATACACAAATTCTCACCTCCCTCCTCTCTTTTGGCTGTAATTGTAATCATAACTATGAGAATGCCGATTGAACAAGCAAAAATAGTTTCATGCGTGTTGGACCACATTTCTACATATGTGGTCCAGAAGTGTAAGCATCTATCTTAAAGATGGATGAAAGTACGTGGTCCATCTAAAAACAATAGAAACTAAACCCCCAAAATAGACGTAGAATTCGTGTTTAATCAGACGAATTAAGTTCATATCTTGTAAAAAAGCTATTTACTTCAAAACTCCCCAAAATTTACAGAAAATAGATCAAAATTGACGCCATAATCGATAGAATGGTGGATGAACCCTAAATCGCATATGTTTTCTATAAAGCATTTAAAAAAAAAAATCATCTAAAACAGACTGATAAATCATGATACTATTGGATCTGCAAATTGAAACAAAAAAGGTGTCAAAATACATACCTCAATTGGATTTGAATCAAGCTAATTTGATCGAAAATCATGGTTTTTGGGAACATGAGAAGAGCACGATTTCTTGAAACAATAACATATCTCTGTCAAAATCTGTAATTTTATTTAGCAAAATAATCTAAGGGATTGTATACAAAGAGACCATTTACCTTTGGTACAGGTAGATGACAATTACTTAATACCATCCGATGTGAAATCTGATAGTTTGGGTGTATCACAAAGTTTGAGACAATTTCTTTTGAACGTTGAGCTTGGTCAATGAAATAAATGCAACCACCCAATTTCACATTCAATGGTCAAGATTAATTGTGACTACCTTGTATCAAAGGTAAATGGTCTTGTTATTTATATAAATTATGTATCATGAACATATATACAATTTATAAATCAAGAATAATTTAATTAGGTATCAAGAACATACATTTTATTGCATTAAAAATTTGAAAAATACAAGTTTTTTTCCCATGAAAATCATAAATTCATAACATAGAACTGAATATAATTACAAGAAAAAGCGAAAAAAAAAAAGTTGTTATTATATTGTATGTATCAAAACCATATATTTATCAAAATCCCTAATTTTAATCAGCACAATAATCTAAAAGTAATTACTGAAAGGACCTTATAATGTATCGATATGTATCTTGCAAAATCGACCTAGAATTCGTGTTTAATAAGACAAAATAAGTCATGATCTTGTGAAGAAAATTAGTTGCTTCGAAACGCCCCAAAATTTATAGAAAATGGATCAAAATCAAAGCCATAATCGACACCTAAATCGCATAGGTTTTCTAAGCATTTAAGAAAAACTCGAATAAAAAAAACGAAATGATAAATCATGAGACTACTGGATCTAAGAACTGAAACAATGAGGATCAAAATACATACATCAATTGGATTTAAATCAAGCTAATTTGATCGGAAATCATACTTTTTGGGAACGTGTGAAGAACACGATTTCTTGAAAATCACCCCACAGTCCTTGCTTAACAGCACAAATAACTTTCACGATCTTTTGAAAAACAGCATTGTCGCCAAAACCCCTCTAATATTATTCAAAATAAATCAAAATATCACCTGAAATCCATAGTTTGGCAAAAAAGGCGGAAGCCGTGAAATTTTTTTTAAAAAATGATGCCGGAGATTCGATTTCTTGATTTCAATGTATTGATAGTATCTTTTACACTGATAAATACACTTATTGATGCCTAATAAATCAAGGAAAATGCCTGCAATCGATTAATTCACTCAATAACTTACTGAAAAATGTAAAACCCTTGAAGAATTATTGTTCAAAAGGGGCTTTTCACAGACTTGGCAATTCCCTATAGTGAATCGGATGGTTATAAGTAATTGTAAGCACCTAGTATCAAAGGTAAATTGCCTCATTGTATACAATCCCTTGCAAAAACTCAAAATTTAAACAAAATCACTTTTTCTTTTTTCACATTTATTATGGTTACCTTACTTCTGAGGTTGCTCTTGTAGAATTCTTATTAAACTTTCAAATCAATATGAAATATGGGTGCTGATTTTTCCAGTCCATTGACCTTTATAGGGTTGAAGTACCTACACAAGTCAGTCATCCTCAACTTTTTGTTTCCTGCTTCTCTTATCCATGGTAAAAGCATGGCAATGAGTATATGGAAACCTGAGCTACATTGAAAATAACATGGCAAATTATAATAAACTGAGAAACAACAAAGAAACCCAAAAATTTCATAGAATATATATATCTATCAGCACAAGATAAATTTGTGAGTTCACAACCTACTGGTGTATTGTAGGCTTTGATAACTTCACATACTTGAGCCGACAAAATTTGATTGTTGAAATGAGACAAATTGATATTTTAGATGCGTTTGGAGTGAGAAAAACCATAATCTGGTTGTGCATGCAAGAGAGAGATTTCAATATTATTATAAGAAAGGTAATATATGTAACATGATTCTCTTTTGCATGCCTGCAAGGCCAAATCCAAATAACTATCCATGGTTTCAAATTAGACCATGGCAAATAGCTCATGATAGCTAATTGAGATTTTTTACTTGGTTCTTTGAGGTGTTTTGATATTAGGTGCTGAGGAGTGTTAGGGTTTTGATCTTTCTTGATCAAAATTATAATATAATACATTTTTGTTTATATGGATGAATTATAGAGGATCTCTGGCAATCCACCTTCTTAGCATCGCAAGGCACTCTTTAGGCTTGTATTGAGGTGTTGTATGACCAGCTCCCTGCACAGAGAACACCATGAGAGAAAAATCATTATGTGATAAAAAAAAATATGCATGATTAGGATTAGGAAATAAATTGCTTGGTTCAAAATAAGAAAGACTGCTTTGGGATCGGACTTAGTATTAGATAATGTTTATTTAAGTCTTTTTTCATATATAAGAAGACTTATTGGATATGAGTTGTATATTTTGTTGAATTACAAGGGAAGAGATGGAACCCCCTCCCAGGATTACTGGCAACGTCTTGAGACTGAGGATCACAGAGTGAAGGTTTCCCAGAACAATGAGAACTCTTTGTGTGTTACATCTCCATGGCCATGAAATGCTTAGTTATAGAGGATGGAGGAGGTTGTTCTCCAACGTTTCGCTTTGTCCTTAAAACTCTAAGAAACGTGGTTCTATAATAACGATACTTTCTCTCTCTAAGAAGGGTCTTTATTTAGTGATAAAAAATGGCAAGTATGAGGGCTCCATGGCCACCCATACGTACGACCTCAAAGAAAAATATCCCATTTGGGAATTCTTAACATAAATACTTTTAAGTCCCATCAAAGCTACATGCTTTGATAATATTTCTGCACTCAATCCCTTTGTTAAAGGGTTTGCAATCATATCTGAAGATAACAAATTCAATAACAGCCTGATTAACACAAAATTTTTTACTAGGACCGTCGGCTATATCCAGCTTCAAATAATTTGTGAAGCGTTTAATCCAGACGGCATAAGTTGTAGCAATGCTACAAGCAATATAACTCGGATTCCATAGTATACCGAGTTACACAACCTTGTTTCTTGTTAGAACAAGAAACACATCCACCTCCAAAGAAGATTACAGATCCTGAGGTTGATTTTCTATCATCTGGGTCTTCTGCAAAGTCTGCATCAGAGTACTCAATAACCTCTAAGTTGTCAGCTTGGAAGCATAAGCTGTAATTTTTTAGTTTTCTAAATATATTTGAGCATCATTTTTACAGTTTGCCAATAAAGTATCGCAGGTTTACTCTGAAATCTACTTACAAAACCATATGCATGACTCAAATTAGGTCTTGTACACAACATGACATAATTTATGCATCCTACAGCTTGAGCATATGAAATTCTTTCCATTTCAGCTTTGTCACTATCATTTAATGGACACATTTTCTTTGACAATTTTAAAGCCTTTACAAACTGGTGTATCTATGGGCTTGCAATTTTATATCTTAAATCTCTTTAAAATACTTTCTAAATAATTTTTTTGAGATAAACATAGAAGTCTTGAACTTCTATCTCTTGTTATTTTAATGCCTAATACATATGAGGCTTCTCTCATACTTTTCATCTCAAAATGGGAAATTAGAATTGATTTGGTATTGTTAATCATGTCAATATCATTACTGGCTATCAAAATATCATCTACATACAGTGATAATATAACAAAATTGCTCCCGCTATTCTAGATATATACACAATGGTCTAACCTATTAGCTACATAACCAATTTCTATGATTGCCTAGAAGATTGTTTTAGACCACATAAAGATTTCTTAAGCTTGAGTACCTTGTCTTCTTGGCCTTTAATTAAATATCTTTCTGGTTGTTTGATGTATATGACTTCTTTTAATTCTCCATTTAAAAAAGTTGTTTTGACATCAATCTAAAATAATTATAGATCATAATATGCAACTAATGCTAGGATGATCCTAATAGATGAAAATTTTGCTACTGGATATTAGGTCTCTACATAATCTATACCCTCCCTTTGGGTAAATCCTTTAGCTACCAACCTAGCTTTATAATTGTCAATGGATCCATTGGCATTAAGCTTTTTCTTTAGGACCCATTTGCAACCGATGGCTTTTCTATCTTTGGGGAGGTCAACCAACTCCCAAACTTGTTTTTTTTTAATAGAATCAAGTTCATCATTCATGGCTTGAGTCCACTCAGCTTAGTCATTTGAGCTAATAGCTTCACTATAACTTCGAGGTTCATCTATTGTATTCTCACTCATTGAAGAATAATTATCTTCATTCAAAACTACATAAAATTCTTCTAAGTTGTAGGTGGGGCTCTAGTTCTTTTAGGCCTGTCTAGTATAGTTGATTCAATTGAATCATTCTAACCAATTTGTAGAGGAAGTTTGAGAAACAGGGTCTTCTAGACCTTTATCTTTATCAATTTCATGTAAGTCAATACACTTGATCGGGTCAATACACTTGGTCGGGTCTATTAAGTTGGGCCGCAGTTGAATATTAGGTCTATATTTGCAAACCTGACCAGGTTTGGACCAGTATTACCTCGACATTCCTAATTGAGCTTTGTGTTGATGTCCCCTGCACTTTTCCATATGTGTTGGATGATGTGATCATTGTTTAGCATGGTGTCGACATAATAACTTACATGCGTACATCATAAATTATATAGAGTTTTGTGGTAAAGCTGAAGTTGGTCTATAGTACATGGTAACAACTTTTTAGCAAACTTGAGGTTTCAGTGCATCTCCTTCTAAATGCAATCTCCATGAGAAGATCTTTCTTAGGGATGAATTTTGGATTGAAAATTACATAGATTGATAATATTAATTATGGCCCATGAATATAAAAAAAAGGGAATAATAAAATTTATTTTTAACTTTGTTTTGGGCTGTTCCATTTAATTCTTCCAGATAACAAAATTGATAATATTTTTTTTAGGAGAAAGGTTTCTATACTTCTCCTACAGCATAGAAGTTCTATCCTCCCCCAACCATCCAGCCGTTCAATTTTGTTCAAGAGAGCCACTCACCATTTGATATTGATATGATGTCTCAAAGTATTTTATTTTTAGTTTTTTTATACAAATTGTAAGAATATGAAATTTGGTACGTGCCATATTTTCATAGGGGCCCATTTACTAAAAAATATTGAAAATAATATTTCGATAAAATATAATCACCAAAATACCCTTGAAACTTTCAAGTGTATTTTGGTCATTTTATTTTATTGAATTTTTTTTTTTTTTTTCGCTAGTGCGAGTTTAATAGAGGAATGGACGTTCAAAATTTGATGGAAAAATACTTTATAGAATAAATATAAAAATAAAATAGTGTGTAGAGACGTGATATTGTGATTGGCAATCTTAGCCTTCCAATCAGAATGGACAGTGGGATAAGGGGAAGTATATAAGTTTTATGTTGTAGGGGAAGCATAGAAAGCTTCTCTTTTTTTTAGATCCAAAATCATGGGTCCAATGCAAAAACACATTTAAACTTAAGATTCATTTCAGATTGAAAATGATCATAAATCCATGTATAACATGGATGCTTTATGCAACCGTACTTCACAAAAGAACAATCACAAATTTTTGGAAGGGCATTGCATGTGAATAGGTCCGCATTTGAATATTTCCCCAGCAGACAGAGATGCAAACCATTTTTAATTTTGTTTTGGGATTGTATATCACGAGACTATTTATATCTATTACAAGATGGACACAATTACTTGTAGCTACAACTTTGCATGGTGTTGACAGGTAGAAGTAGCTGGAAGGTGGAAAAGGTGTTATGATAGGCTCAACTATCTACAAGAGAAGATAAGCTTGATCCAACATCACTTAAATCTCACTTTGAAAGGTTATCGGGCCTTTATTTACCGGTTATTCATTTGTCTACCTATTGTTTCTCACTCAATTTTGCATATATCACTTGTGCTCTTATAGCAAATGATCAATTAGAGCTGTACTAGGAAGTGTTTCCCTATATGATTGATGGGAGGGGTTCGAAAGCAAAAGGTGATAAGTGGGTACTCTTCAACAATTTGTGTATTCTAATGCATTGAAATTTAACCCTTGTTTAACCTATGTAGGCCCACCTTACTTTTCCCCCTCCCCCTTATTGTCATTGAAAAGTGATATTTAATCTTATTAATACACAGCAAGTTATATCAAACGAAATATGAGTATAAAGCAATCCTACACAAATCCCCTTACTACTAATCTAAATGTGTACTCTGGTAAGCAAGATCATGTACCTCCCTATTTATCTCATGGTAAACATAAGTAAAGGAGGCTTTCAACTTTTCACAAAATTCTAAAAATTTGAACCACAAAGATTTCAGATTCCAGGGCACTTGCTATTATAATTTACACCACTTAACAATGTTAAAAGAATCTCCTTTCACCTTTATAACATTACCGAACTAATTTTTTCAATGATTTTCAAGCCCCTGAGTGAAGCTAACATTTTGCCTCATTGGCTTGAGTGAGAGAGAGAGAGCGCCAAAAGCTTGTGGAAGGTGAGAAGAGGGGTTTTATAATCGTAAAAAGGAAGAGGTGGCAGCATGCAAAAGCCATGGGTCACCACAAAGGCTTGCAGGTGCCACTTGGCACCTTGGTGGCATACAGTTGGTGCCCAAGTGGATTACAAGTGGCTAAGTGGCACCCTATGCACGTACGACTGTTTATCCTTAAACTCATGACGGCTGATCCTGTGCATGCACGACGGCTGATCCTTCCACTCACGGTGGCTGATCCCGTGCACGCACGATGACTGATCCTGTGCACGTACGACGGCTGATCATGTGCATGCACGGCGGTTGATCCTTACGCTCACTGCGGCTGATCCTGTGCACGCACGACGGTTGATCCTTACACTCATGGTTGCTGATCCTACGCATGCACGGTAGTTGATCCCGTGCATGCACGACGGCTGATCCTTACACTCAAGGTGGCTTGAAATCTCTATTGCGCATGACGGCTTCCCACACAAGCACAGCGGTGTGACTCGTGCCAATGACCTCCCAGCACACTTCATCATGCCAGAAAGTCTTGGTCCTTACCCTTAGGTTTTGGTATCATGACATGCTCGGGCCTTTTTGGCTTGGGAAGTGCCTTGTCTCTAGTGTCATGGCTTGGAATGGGCTCAGATAGAGTTGCTTTGAAGATTTGAGCTACAATGAGTTCAAGCCGAGCTAATTCTAGCTTAGGGGCTAGAACGGGTGATGGCTCAGGTTGTTTGGACTCAATGGGACTGTTTGTATCAGACTTGCTCTTTGCTCCAATTGTAGGCTCTTCTTTGTCCGGGGCTAGACTTTGAACCTTATGGATGACCGGCCTTATCATGCCCCGAGCCCCCTCTTTGATATCCACCATGTGACATGCTTCCCCACTATCATCCGCATCAAGGAGGGCAAGAGGGGAGAAGGAGTTCAGATCTTTGGATGGAAAATTTTTAATGTTCATTCTTTTTTCATCCTTGAGTCGGACCATCAGCATCTTAGTCTCTTGGCCTCATATCTGGGCTTGACCATTATTTTCCTTCTTGATGGCCAGGTAGAACTGCCCCCAAGCGAAGGCGAGCAAATCTTC